AACATTGGGTTGTACAGGGTACAATCATCACTCCTTGTGTATCTAAACATTGGGTTGTACAGGGTACAATCTTCTCTCATTGTGTACCTAAACATTGCGTTGTACAGGGTACAATCATCTCTCCTTTTGTATCTAAACACTGGGTTGTACAGGGTACAATCATCTCTTCTCATGTATCTAAACATTGGGTTGTACAGGGTACAATCATCTCTCCTTGTGTATCTAAACATTGGGTTGTACAGGGTACAATCATCTCTTCTTGTGTATCTAAACATTGGCTTGTACATGGTACAATCATCACTCCTTGTGTACCTAAACATTGGGTTGTACAGGGTACAATCATCTCTCATTGTGTATCTTAACATTGAGTTGTACACGGTACAATCATCTCTTCTTGTGTACCTAAACATTGGTTAATACTGGGTACAATCATCTCCATTGTGTATCTAAACATTGAGTTGTACAGGGTGCAATCATCACTCCTTGTGTACCTAAACATTGGGTCGGACAGGGTACAATCATCACTCCTTGTGTATCTAAACATTCAGTTGTACAGGGTACAATCATCTCTCTTTGTGTACCTAAACATTGCGTTGTACAGGGTACAATCATCACTCCTTGTGTACCTAAACATTGGGTTGTACAGGGTACAATCATCACTCCTTGTGTATCTAAACATTGGGTTGTACAGGGTACAATTATCTCTCTTTGTGTATCTAAACATTGGGTTGTACAGGGTACAATCATCACTCCTTGTGTATTTAAACATTGGGTTGTACAGGGTACAATCATCTCTCCTTTTGTATCTAAACATTGGGTTGTACAGGGTACAATCATCTCTTCTCATGTATCTGAACATTGGGTTGTACAGGGTACAATCATCTCTCATTGTGTATCTAAACATTGGGTTGTACAGGATACAATCATCACTCCTTGTGTACCTAAACATTGGGTTGTACAGGGTACAATCATCTCTCCTTGTGTATCTAAACATTGGGTTGTACAGGGTACAATCTTCTCTCATTGTGTATCTAAACATTGGGTTGTACAAGGTACAATCATCACTCCTGTGTACCTAAACATTGAGTTGTACAGGGTACAGTCATCTCTCCTTGTGTATCTAAACATTGGGTTGTACAGGGGTACAATCTTCTCTCATTGTGTATCTAAACATTGGGTTGTACAGGGTACAATCATCACTCCTTGTGTATCTAAACATTGGGTTGTACAGGGTACAATCTTCTCTCATTGTGTACCTAAACATTGCGTTGTACAGGGTACAATCATCTCTCCTTTGTATCTAAACACTGGGTTGTACAGGGTACAATCATCTCTTCTCATGTATCTAAACATTGGGTTGTACAGGGTACAATCATCTCTCCTTGTGTATCTAAACATTGGGTTGTACAGGGTACAATCATCTCTTCTTGTGTATCTAAACATTGGCTTGTACATGGTACAATCATCACTCCTTGTGTACCTAAACATTGGGTTGTACAGGGTACAATCATCTCTCATTGTGTATCTTAACATTGAGTTGTACACGGTACAATCATCTCTTCTTGTGTACCTAAACATTGGTTAATACTGGGTACAATCATCTCCATTGTGTATCTAAACATTGAGTTGTACAGGGTGCAATCATCACTCCTTGTGTACCTAAACATTGGGTCGGACAGGGTACAATCATCACTCCTTGTGTATCTAAACATTCAGTTGTACAGGGTACAATCATCTCTCTTTGTGTACCTAAACATTGCGTTGTACAGGGTACAATCATCACTCCTTGTGTACCTAAACATTGGGTTGTACAGGGTACAATCATCACTCCTTCTGTATCTAAACATTGGGTTGTACAGGGTACAATCATCACTCCTTGTGTATTTAAACATTGGGTTGTACAGGGTACAATCATCTCTCCTTTTGTATCTAAACATTGGGTTGTACAGGGTACAATCATCTCTTCTCATGTATCTGAACATTGGGTTGTACAGGGTACAATCATCTCTCATTGTGTATCTAAACATTGGGTTGTACAGGATACAATCATCACTCCTTGTGTACCTAAACATTGGGTTGTACAGGGTACAATCATCTCTCCTTGTGTATCTAAACATTGGGTTGTACAGGGTACAATCTTCTCTCATTGTGTATCTAAACATTGGGTTGTACAAGGTACAATCATCACTCCTTGTGTACCTAAACATTGAGTTGTACAGGGTACAGTCATCTCTCCTTGTGTATCTAAACATTGGGTTGTACAGGGTACAATCTTCTCTCATTGTGTATCTAAACATTGGGTTGTACAGGGTACAATCATCACTCCTTGTGTATCTAAACATTGGGTTGTACAGGGTACAATCTTCTCTCATTGTGTACCTAAACATTGCGTTGTACAGGGTACAATCATCTCTCCTTTTGTATCTAAACACTGGGTTGTACAGGGTACAATCATCTCTTCTCATGTATCTAAACATTGGGTTGTACAGGGTACAATCATCTCTCCTTGTGTATCTAAACATTGGGTTGTACAGGGTACAATCATCTCTTCTTGTGTATCTAAACATTGGCTTGTACATGGTACAATCATCACTCCTTGTGTACCTAAACATTGAGTTGTACAGGGTACAATCATCTCTCATTGTGTATCTTAACATTGAGTTGTACACGGTACAATCATCTCCCCTTGTGTATCTAAACATTGGGTTGTACAAGGTACAATCATCTCTCCTTTTGTATCTAAACACTGGGTTGTACAGGGTGCAAGCATCTCTCATTGTGTATCTAAACATTGGGTTGTACAGGGTGCAATCATCTCTCCTTGTGTACCTAAACATTGGGTTGTACAGGGTACAATCATCTCTCTTGGTGTATCTAAACATTGGGTTGTACAGGGAACAAACATCTCTCATTGTGTATCTAAACATTGGGTTGTACAGGATACAATCATCACTCCTTGTGTACCTAAACATTACAGGGTACAATCATCTCTCCTTGTGTATCTAAACATTGGGTTGTACAGGGTACAATCTTCTCTCATTGTGTATCTAAACATTGGGTTGTACAAGGTACAATCATCACTCCTTGTGTACCTAAACATTGAGTTGTACAGGGTACAATCATCTCTCCTTGTGTATCTAAACATTGGGTTGTACAGGGTACAATCTTCTCTCATTGTGTATCTAAACATTGGGTTGTACAGGGTACAATCATCACTCCTTGTGTATCTAAACATTGGGTTGTACAGGGTACAATCATCTCTCTCATTGTGTACCTAAACATTGCGTTGTACAGGGTACAATCATCTCTCCTTGTGTATCTAAACATTGGGTTGTACAGGGTACAATCATCTCTTCTCATGTATCTAAACATTGGGTTGTACAGGGTACAATCATCTCTCCTTGTGTATCTAAACATTGGGTTGTACAGGGTACAATCATCTCTCCTTGTGTATCTAAACATTGGGTTGTACAGGGTACAATCATCTCTCCTTGTGTATCTAAACATTGAGTTGTACAGGGTACAATCATCTCTCATTGTGTATCTAAACATTGAGTTGTACACGGTACAATCATCTCCCCTTGTGTATCTAAACATTGGGTTGTACAGGGTACAATCATCTCTCCTTTTGTATGTATCTAAACATCTCTCATTGTGTATCTAAACATTGGGTTGTACAGGGTACAATCATCTCTCCTTGTGTATCTAAACACTGGGTTGTACAGGGTGCAAGCATCTCTCCTTGTGTACCTAAACATTGGGTTGTACAGGGTGCAATCATCTCTCTTGGTGTATCTAAACATTGGGTTGTACAGGGAACAAACATCTCTCTTTGTGTATCTAAACATTGGGTTGTACAGGGTACAATCATCTCTCCTGTGTATCTAAACATTGGGTTGTACAGGGTACAATCATCTCTCCAGTTTGAGCTCAGACGAAACAGAAACAAAATATAATTATATGTGGCATGGGGTTTCTCGGAATTTGCAGATGCTACTCTGATTGTTCGTTCGTTCGTTCGTTCGTTTGTTCATGTCACTGTGGTAGCCTTCTATTTCCTAAAACCCATGCCGTCATACACGACCACGTGCTACATGCGGACTGGTCACAGGGCAGTGGCCTATCTTGCCAGGTTACCCCGTCTCACGACATCCACGCTGGGGACAGGAGATAACAGTGTTTAACATGTGCATCATGACTAGTTGGCCATTCCCCACCCCAAACCTCCTTGAGCTATAAGAATGTGTACGGGCAGCTCATCACCCCGGGACATTTATACGTCGAAGACATTGATAAATCAAATCGACTGGACAAGTCTTACTGCATACACACTCCAAATAGACTTTGAGTAGTCGTCTATGTCATGTCCCCTGTCTCACATGTACATAGCATGTCAGCTGACCCCGTAAATCACCCAGACTATTCATGTCAACACATGTAGAGGCATGACAGGTTCATGTGGAGCGTGTTGATAACAAACACAACCTCTCAGTAGTTCTTTATCTCGGTTTCCGTCGTGGAACTCACACTTCAGACTGGAAAAGGTAAAGGTGACGACCCTGAACAACGACCGTGTAAATCAGTAAACTACGTTTATGTCGAACACACTTTAGCAAACTAACTTATATAACGATTTGCTTTTTTATCCTTGTCACTTACTGAACACTTTAGACGAAATGCGTATGAAGAATAACGAGCTAAAGTTTAGTTCAGCCTTCTTAGTTCGTAATAACCGTAGTTTATGGTATCGAGAAATGTTTGGGCTGAACCGAGCCGAAAGTCAATGCCAAACTTTATGACATTGCCAAAAATGACTACCTCGCTGTTTCGATGCACATTGTCGCGCTTATCCATTCTGAACTAATTTATATAAATCCAATGTCTTAACCATGCGTATGTGCACCTACAAAACTCGTAAAGGATCTACGAGATAATTGTTCCATTTCTGAGTGTATCGAATCTTTTTTGTAACATTTGTGACAGCGGTGTATTTCCTCTAGAATGGAGTAAGAGTATCGTATGCCCTCTGCTTAGGTCGGCTGACATCATTATATCCCTGTATTCCAAACTACTAGTAATTATAAAAAAGTACTGTCGGAAACAGAAAAGAAAACAAATTGAGGCGACATGGACACGCGATGGACGAATTTACATTCTAGAACAGCCGGAGGGAGCAACTCATGTGATTTCGTGTGAGACCGACCTGAATAAATATAAATAGAACTTAATTGGATCACCTGGACAATATGTGACTGTACTAAGTGTGTTTTCCACTCATCTGTACATATCCTGTAAGTAGACACAATGTAAATATGTATATACGAAACTATTGATGTCCACAATGATGATTTAATGTCTTATGTTCCTTGTTCTATGTGTCGTTGGCTATTTGATAGTTCTTTGTGTTGTTAGGAATCCCTTGATATTTAGTCTCCTCCTCTCTATCTCTATCATACCATTCAAATCTCTGTTCTTACTCTATCAGCTCCATTCTTCAAGTACTATCAACCATCTGTAAAAGTTTACTTATCTGTACTCGTTCTATTTCCCCTATATATGTTGTGATCACACTCAAATTCAACATTTGTTCCCGACAACATGAAATAATAATACAATGTCTGTTTAATCTTATAATGTCATATCTTTATCTAATAATGTCTGAGTATATACTATACTCCCAGTATTTACATGGGTAATGATATAATGCAACACCGTGTGGTGATTGGAGTATTTAATTGTGTAAAATTTAGAATACAGGTTGGATTCAAGAGCGTCACTAATGCGCATTTTTCATGTGGTAATGTAACTCTCTTTGTAAGTGAATTGAAGTTCATGTTTGAGATTTTCTGTATCGAATGGAAAGCATGCACGGTGTTTCTTAGTGTCTGTTGTCTCCAGTCACAAGCTGGTAATGTTGACGTAATCCTTGTGTTACTATTGTTATTATTGATTGCTGGGGACGTGCAACCCAACCCATGGCCACTGACCCATGACAACACTGTCTGTGACCATTCTTTGTCTATTTTCCATCTAAATACTAGAAGTCTACGTAACAAGCTTTCTTATTTGAGTGAATTCTTATCAGATCACAATGTTGTTTGTTTTACGGAAACGCACTTAGACGACAGTATTGCTAATCTGGGAAGACTTTCACGAGCCAGTGCGCAAAGACAGAAATATGTTTGGGGGTGGTTTACTAGTTTATGTTAATAAAAGCCTGACTTTTAAGAGAATTCCAGAACTTGAAAATGTCTACGATGAAACAATTTGGATTCAGATATATTTACCTCAAAATTCGCTGTTATTATGTACTGTATACCGACCAGAGTATAATTCTTTGGACTTTTGGGCTCGCTTAGATAATAGCGTTGAAAGTGCTCTTGATATGTCGTCTAAGGTTGTTATTGTTGGTGATATAAATGAAAATCTCTTATCCGCTAAAAAACTTAATGTAAATGAACTCTTGGTTATGAAAAATTTAAGAAATGCTATATCTGAACCTACTAGAGTTACCAAAACAACCAGTACTTTGCTTGATCCGGTAATTGTCAGTGAAGACATTGATGTTGTTGACAGTGGTGTTGTTGAGTTTGATAGCAATATAAGTGATCACAGAGGAACATATGTAAACATATAAGTACACAGTTATGTAACAACATATCTTATAAGCGAGAAATCTGGTGTTACAATAAGGGTGATTATGAAATGCTCAATTATCTTATAGAAAATACAGAATGGAAGGATTTATATAATGGATGTTCAAATGTTAATGATGCTTGTTCACTATTTTATAACAAATTTACTCAACATGTGAAATCATGTATTCCTTTAAAAATAGTAACTATTCGTCCAAATGACAAACCATGGTATGACTCTAATTTGAGGAGGGAATCCCGTAAAAGAGACCGATTACGGAGAAAGGCCAAGAAAACAAAAAAATTGAGCGACAAAAAAGCTTATAAACATCAGAGAAATAGAGTAAACAACATGAAATGTTATGCGAAAGAAAACTTCTACTCTAATATTAATGGCCTACTTTTGGAATTATACTCTGAAAATAAATCTTCATATTGGAAATTATTACGTTATATTGTTAAAAACTCGGGCTCTAATTCGCATATTCCTCCTCTCAAGCAGAATGTTGATGATGAATTTCCAACGCTATTTTCTGATTTGGAAAAAAGCTGAAAACTTAATACATATTTCGAATCAATTTCCCGTTTGAATGATATAGATGTACCATTACCACATTTTCCCTCAAGGACCAATATGCAGTTAGATAAAATAGTAATTTCTGAGAAGGAAGTATCTGATGTTATAAAATGTTTACAGTTAAACAAAGCTTCAGGGCCGGATAGAATAAGTCATAAATTATTACAGAATACCGTTTATTCCATATCCAAGCCCCTGTGTTTACTGTTCAACTTATCATTGCAATATAGTGTGTATCCAAATATGTGGAAAAGTGCATATGTCATGCCTCTGTTTAAGAAAGGTGATCACTCTATTGTTTCCAATTATAGACCTATTTCTCTTATAAGTTGCATAGGAAAACTGTTTGAAAGAGTGGTATACAAACACTTGTATAACTATTTCCTTGTTAACAAACTTTTATATAAGTACCAATCAGGCTTTCAAGCAGGTCATTCAACTGTCCATCAATTAATTGAACTGTACCATCATATTTGTACATCTCTCGACAACAAAGAAAAATATTGTATGGTATTTTGCGATGTATCCAAAGCTTTTGATCGTGTGTGGCACAAAGGGCTTGTACGTAAATTAGAGATGTATGGTATTAGAGGCCAGCTTTTGCAATGGATATCGAGTTACATAAGTGATCGCAGTCAACACGTCTTTGTAAACGGAGCTATATCTAAGCCCAGGTACTTAACAGCTGGCGTCCCCCCAGGGATCAGTATTGGGACCCTTTTTGTTTGTGGTCTATGTTAACGATATTGCTGATAAACTAGATTGTGTAACAAGACTTTTTGCTGACGATACCTCGCTTGGAAAATCATCGAAAAATACTAAAGAAATCGAAACTTCTCTTAATACCAATTTAGACATATTATATAGCTGGAGCAAAAACTGGCTGGTCTCATATAATCCTGAAAAAACAGAAGCAGTGTTGTTTTCCATGATTGATGAAACTGAAAAAATTGAAATTATTTTTTGACGGAAAGCAAATCAATTTGGTAAACAATCATAAACATCTCGGAATAACATTTGAAGCAAAAGGCAAATGGTCTTGTCATACTAATCAAATTATCAAGTCGTGCTCCAAAATGATATCATCAATGCGGAAATTGAAATACTTACTTAACAGAAATACAATCAATACTATTTATAAGATATTTATCAGACCACACTTTGAATATGCTTGTGAATTATGGGATGGCTGTACTGTAAAACAGAAAGAAAACTTAGAGAAACTTCAGTTAGAAGCTGCCAGAATAGTTACGGGTCTACCTAGATATACTTCACGTCAAATTCTATATTATGAGACAGGCTGGGAAAGGCTGGATGAACGAAGAAAAAGAAGAAAACTTTGTCTATTCTACAAAATTCAAAATGATTTAGCCCCTGTATACTTAAAAGATATTACTCCAGATAGTGTTGGATCAAGATCTAATTATAACCTTAGGAATGCTAGCAATATTATTCTACCTTCTGCAAGGTTAAGACTTTCATATGATTCCTTTTTTCCATCAACTGTAAGAATGTGGAATAATATTTCTGATACCGAAAGAAATCGACCTTCATTACAAAGTTTCAAGTCGTACTTAAAGTGCGAGCAACCTGTAGCTCCATCATATTACTTGTTTGGAATTAGAAAATTAAATATTATACACACAAAGTTGAGATATATGACTAGTCAGCTAAATTATGATTTGTATCGTTTCAACATAAAAGATTCAGCTTCTTGTTACTGTGGCAATACTTGTGAAAATGTACATCACTTCCTATTAGAATGTAAACTGTACAACATCCAAAAGGAAATATTAATGTTAAATTTATAAAGTATTGTAAATCGAGACTCTCCAATCACATTGTCATTGATGTTATTTGGAAGTCCTGATATGACCATTCAACAGAATGAATACGTTTTTAAAGGTGTGCAAACTTTTATTCATCAATCAAAACGTTTTGTGTGATCACATGAGTTGTATCCCTTCCTCTACTTAACTTTCCTATCTCTTCTCTCTATTCTTTCCTAATATGTGTATAATTGAAAATGTATGTATGTAAATATTAGGGAGCGGGTATCTTAAGTTGGATTACTTGTCCCCAATCCCTTTCACATTTGTGAATAAAATATGTTTAAATCAACAGAAAAAAACTGTATTTTCTCATTTATCTCTACAATGTATGTAGTGGATATGTAAAAGTGTGAAATATCTGTTAAACTAAGTTCGGCCTAACCACAGTCTCAGTGGTAAAGAGATAGGAAACGGAGAAAAATGACTTTACTGAGGGGAAATTAGTGCAGAAATGAGCAATGCGGGTTTTTACGAAGTCCAAAAGGACTTATTTTGAACAGACCATGGCTTTATGCAAATTAGTGTGCGACGATATTGTATTACAAAGGACACTTTTTTAAATGCCCAATTTGAATTTAGACGTAGATTCATGATAAACGATAGCTGACGTAAAAAATAATAACTTTTATGTTGAAACTTATTAAGGATGTAGCTACCATGTAGTCTCACTGTCACTATCAAAAGAAACAGATAGGAGGGGCCGTCTCAAAAGCAAAACCTGGGGTCGGGCTGGGGGATAGAGATATCAGCTAAGATAAGATAATCCTTAAGGGCAATTATACTGGGGAGGTACACGGCACGTCATAACAATTTACAAATAATATCCAGTCCTGTCGATCTTCGGGTGGTCATGCCACCTATATACTACGATGCGAGTTTCGGGTGTGATATTCTTTTACATATGATCTCAACATAAACTTTATGAAAGAAAGACACATAAGATGTTAATCAATGGATGAGACATAAGTCAACACACATGAAAAAGCACAAAATATCATTGAGATGACCCATTGTGCCTGCAGGCAGCACGTGCATTCCATGCCAGGTGAGTCGACGGTTCGTCGACATACCTGGCTAAGCGACCTAATTGCCATCTATAGTCTGATCTAATGTTTTCAGCAGCTATTCGTATTTTTTCTAAGTTTTGCCCGATTTTCACGAGTAAACATGCTTTTCTGGATATCCTATTACGCATCCCACTGAACGCCAAGTTAGGCCGAAGTGGGTTATTTCGACATATGCTATTTGCAACTGTGTAAATTTTAGGGATACAGAGTAACAGCCTAAAAACAGTTTTTTTCTATTTCCGACAGTACTTCTTTTTTTTAAGTGCTTGTGTTAGGACAAACAAGATTGGCACACGTCAGGGCTGTATTTTAAGTCCGCAGATATTCATCATTTATATGTATCAATTAATTAAGACTATGGAAACTCAAGATGGTCTGTATATATGACAACAATTTGTATAGGGTTAGGGGATTGTGGCAAAATCTCTCTTATGTCTGTATATATGACAACAATTTGTATAGCGTTAGGGGATTGTGGCAGAATCTCTCTTATGTCTGTATATATGACAACAATTTGTATAGGGTTAGGGGATTGTGGCAGAATCTCTCTTATGTCTGTATATATGACAACAATTTGTATAGGGTTAGGGGATTGTGGCAGAATCTCTCTTATGTCTGTATATATGACAACAATTTGTATAGGGTTAGGAGATTGTGGCATAATCTCTCTTATGTATGTATATATGACTAAAACTGTTAAATATTGGTGCAGACTTTTTCATTTAGATCACTCATACCTTTCCAGTGTTATGAGATGCTAAACTCACTTAATACTAAAAACAGTTCTAATTGGGTCTCACACACATAAAGAACATATTATTTATTTATGGATTTAGGTTAAATATTTTATTTCTTTGTTTAAGCGGAGACTTTGTGATAACATTCAGCAAGGATGGGTGAGTGATTTATGTCACTCCTCAAAGTGTGTGTATTATAAACAATTTAAATCATTACAGAATGTCGAATCTTATCTCACATGTAATATTCAATTGAGACTCAGATCAACTCCATCACCATTTCGATGTAGTAATTTTGGTTATAGAGTAGAAACTGGAAGATATTGTTATATGTTGTAATTGAATAACGAATTTTATATCGAAGATGATTAACAGTCTGTACAGAATGTTTAACCTGTGTGTGAAGTAATAAAGTAGTATTTGAACTTTCTCCAGATAATGACATATATTATTAATAACAATATTATTTGTTGAGGACATCAAATGTACAAAGTATTGTACAAATTGACAATCTTTCTGTGTAAATGTACTGAGGTAAGTGTAAGTGAACTGTAACTATTACAGATAAACATTACATGGATTTTACTGACATAGATCCTCTGTCTGTCTGTATCGAATCACATCATTGTTTTATGTGTCGACAAATTAACCTAACAATAGAAATCTCTCGACAGCCGTCAATATCAACACATTTGTGACCTCAATCGACTGTTGAACAATCAGTTGTTAATATAATAGTCTACATCATGATCTGGGACCCCTTTTTTAAATAATGAGAACTTGAAATAGACGGAACTGTCTTTTATGCAGATACTCAAGAGATTTATTTCTATTTTTGTGGTGAATGTGTTGCCGGCGGAGAATACTATGTTGCCAAAACAGTGTTAGAGTAATTCGGTTGATAAATAAGGACAACCATGCACTATGTATGGTAAAGATCGTGTCACAGAGCTTGATACACCTGCTCCATAAACACAGAAGACGTGAGTGAGTGGGTTGAGGTTTTGGTGAGTGAGTGAGTCGGTGGGTGGGTGAGTGAGTGAGTGGATATGTGGGTGGAGTGAGTGAGTGAGTGTGTGAGTGAGATGGGTTTAACCCCGCTATTAAAAGTATTCCATTAATATCACTCAGCTTGGTGGGAAAGGAAAGCCAGACGTTCAGCAGACCTCACATGTGCACGTTCATAGAGTTACGTCCCCTGGGTGCATCAGGAATCTGTGATAGCCTGTCCGATTATATTTCTTGGTTTGTCAGAACCAAATTAAGGGGATTCACCCGTGCTAAAGGAGATACCCTTTAGTACTGG